GAATTTACTTAATACGGGCTGGTCCCGAGACCCGTCACCGGGGTTAGGCCGCCTCCTCCTTCGCCTAGGCAGCATCGCAGACTCCGTGCAAGAGCAGAAATATTAGGAAAGTAGCCACCGCCTGCGATGAGCTGCTTGAGACGAGACGAGAAGAGCAGGTCGCCGAGGGAGCTCTAGGAGAAGTCGTATGCCGGCGGCTTCCCGGGCTCTTCCTTCCCGCAATGGACGAGGCGCGGACGTTAGGTCACAGAAGCGCCCCGACTTTGCCGGTGAGCGAAACCGACCCCACCGTCATGGCTGCCAAGACCACCCGCTCTCCTCTTCCCGCGGGAGGCGCGTCTCTCTGCGCATGCTCCGCAGGTTCCCTTGCTCAGAAGTCCGGCGAGGAAGGGGACTCGCCGATACAGAGTTGCTGCGGCGAAAAAAAAGCGATGGTAGCGTCTCTGTACTCGATCGTCGCTGTGTGCAAGAACATGGGCATTGGAAAAGACGGGAAGCTTCCTTGGCCTCCGCTCAGGTACAGTCCTGCTTCTTTTCTTTTATCCCGCGCTTTAACTCGAAGAGAAAAACCACAATTCCCAGCATGCATTGCTTGCCTTGCATTGGAAGTTGCATTGAATGATCTCTCTGAATGGGAGTGTGTAGCTTGGGGGTTGTAGTTAATACGATCATACGGGTTTTTTGTTTTTTTTTACCCAGAGGGTAGCAGATATTTTTTTAGCAGATAAAGTTTTTCTTTATCGAACTCTAGCAGTAGTTTATTGTTGAATTCATTTTCCCTCTGCCAGTTCCTAACCAATATTACGCTTAGCTGGGTAGATGGGACATATGGCCCTTTTCATCTAAGCGGTTTTCAAGGAACAGCATTATTTTGCCGCCAACCAAATAATTAGAAAGCGCTTTGAAATCCTCTTTTCAAAGTTCGATACTCCAGTACTAGGCAAAAGCTTGAAGTACAGATTTCAGACAGAAATCGCCCAGGGTTAAATAATGTTTCAGCAGATCACTGACCTTTAGAACAGCAAACTTACAGGATGCAGCAAGTGGAATAAAGGGCACATTTCTGGGGGCGGGGTGTGTGTGTGTGTTCTGTGTTGTCCCTCGGGATGTATTTGAAGGAGTAGAACTGAACATTGTAAATAAGAGAATTGCAATGTAGAGACAGTTGTAAAAATTAAAATCGGTGTGAATTAACTGTATAAGAATTCCTTAGTGGTTTGATACCTTGACATACAGGTGAAACTCGAAAAATTAGAATATCGTGCAAAAGTTCATTTATTTCAGTAATGCAACTTAAAAGGTGAACCTAATATATGAGATAGACTCATTACATGCAAAGCAAGATAGTTCAAGCCGTGATGTGTCATAACTGTGATGATTATGGCTTACAGCTCATGAAAACCCCAAATCCACAATCTCAGAACATTAG